TGTTTTATAATATGAATTATTAAATATTAGTTGTTAAATAAAGAGATTTATTTTTGTAATTAAAAATTTTTAATATCTAACTACTGATATTTTGTAATCTAAACTAAATATATATATATATATATATTTTTCAGACATTTAGGCGTGATATGGAAAAGTATATGCATGCACCTATATGGTACCGTGGGACCAACTTGGGGTTTTCTTTTTGTTTCAACGCGCAAGCCAAAGTAAATGGATGATGATTTAGATGAAGACTCAAGGGTACAATCTTTCTTTAATGATGTGGCTTTTGGGAAGAATGGAGAGATTACGGGGACAGAAAGTCTTGGGTGCAAAGATATGTGAACACTCTCCAATCATTGCCTTTGCTTTGAATTTGTTGGTTTTACAGCTCCCAAATTTCGTTATTGTTTGAGCCAAAATGTATATTCAACCTCACCTGTTTGTTTTTGTTTCTTGTCTAATAATTGAGTGACCAAAAAAAAGTAGCAAGCGTGCCAATACGATATCGATTGCGCAATATTATTGTCATGTTAAAATTGAGAGGTTGTGAAGTTGGGAATCAGAAAAAGAATTTCTCATTGATTGACTCTAACTCATAATAGTACATTGTATATACACACAGAAGATATCCTAGCAAAATAAGAAAAAAATATATACAATAAATTGAAGTTATGTCTCAACAGATTTTGCAGATTCATGTGAGATACCAGCAAATTTACTTTCCTTAACACGCCTCTGCAAGACGATGGCGCCACTAGCAACACCGATCTTGGACCGAATAAGAAAGAAACGAGATGAAGATAGGGGCTTAGTGAGCCAATCAGCAAGTTGATCATGCGAGGAAATGTCGGAGACATGAAGAATCCTTTTGTCAACTAAATCCCAAACGAAGTGGAGAACGATAGCAATATGTTTCATGCGAGAGTGGAGAACAGGATTAAGACTAAGATAAGTGGCACCGACATTATCACAAAAGATGGCCAAAGATTGCAAACAAGAGACTCCAAGCTCAACCAGTAGATTGCGCACCCAAACAAGCTAGGAAGTGGCAGCTACTAAGGGTCGATATTCGGCTTCAGTGGAGCTGCAAGCAACTACCTTTTGCTTGGCTGCTCACCAGGAGATGGGATTTTGGCTAAGAAAAACAAGATACCCAGTTGTCCTAACCATCGTGCCTCGATCACCAACCCAATTTGCATCAGAATAGGCATGAAGAGAGAAAGAGCACTGTGAGTGAAGCAGGAGACCATGATGAAGAGTGCCGTGGAGATATCGAAGCAAGTGCTTGGCTGCCTACCAATGCAAGTCTGTAGGATGGTGCATAACTGAGCCAAACTACTAACTGCAAAGGAAAGATTCGGGCAGGTAAGGGAGAGGTATTGAAGAGACCCAATGAGCTGCTGGTAGGTAGAGCCATCGAAAAGGGAATTCCCGAAAGCAAGATGAAGATCCGACTTAGGAGCAAAAGGAGTGGAGACTAGCTTAGCATCTTGTATTTTAAATCGATGAAGCCGATCAGAAATATAATGTCATTGCAATAGAAACAAACCAGCAGTAGTCTGGATAGCCTCTATACCCAAAAAGAAACTGATGGATCCCAAATCCTTTAAAGCAAATCGATTACCCATAACCTGAATAATAGAGTCAAGAGCAGTAGGATCACTTCCAGTAAGGAGAATGTCATCAACATAAACCAAAAAAATAAACCCATGTGGACTCCTTGTGATAAATGAATAAAGAAGTGTCCGACCGAGAGTGAGTGAACCCTTGGAAAAGCAAAATATTCTTAAGCTCCAAAAAATAGGCATGAGGAGCTTACTTGAGCCCATAAATCGATTTCACAACCGACAAACATAGTCTAGAAAATTAGGATCAATAAAACCTACAGGCTGTTGCATAAATAATTCCTCCTCAAGGCGCCCATGTAAAAAGGCATTGGAGACATCAAGTTGGCGAATAGGCCAGTGCCTACTAATAGCAAGTGACAAAATAGTGTGAATAGTAATAAGTTTAATTACTGGACTGAAAGTATTAAAGTAATCGGAACCTGGCATTTGATGAAACCCCTTAGCAACCAGATGGGCTTTATACCATTTAATACTGCCATCCTTTGCTCACTTAAGCCTGAAATCCCATTTACAACCAATCAAATGTTGCTTAAAATTAGGAGGAACAAGATCCCACGTACCTTGGCAAACAAAAGCACTGAACTCATCAAACATGGCCTGCCGCCAATTGGGATTTTTAAGAGCTTAAGTAACACACGTTGGTTCACTAGGGGTGGTGACAGCTTGGTGTAAGAGTTTTTGGTTTAAAAATGTTGTTTTGAGATCGGGTAATCATAGGGTGAGTTCGGCCAGGCATAGGAGGCGAAGGTGGTTCACAGGTGCTTGTTGGAGAAAAGGTAGTAGGTTTAGGATTAGAGGGAGTGGGAAAGGAGTCCAAGGGGGGACTAATGGGTAGGGAAGGGGTGGGATAATGAGTGGGCTGATTGGTGGGCCTAGAAAGGGTGGGAGAGATAGTGGGCCGAGGGGAGAAAATGGACTGATGGAGCTAGGCCGGAGGGGAAGGCTGTAAGAGGAGACACAAAATCACGAGCCAAACCTTCATGGGGTGCTAATGATGGTGGCGATGACAGTTCAACGGGAACCTCAGACAATGTGTGGGAAGAAAAAGATGTAGAATCAGGGAACGGAGAGGAAGAGTGCATTCAGGTGGGAAGCTTGGACAAAAATGGAAACTATTGTTCGTGAAAAATGACATGACGAGAGTGAAATAACCTACCAATGTGGAGATCAAGACACCTATATGTAAGATTTTCAGAAGAATAACCTACAAATAAACAAGGGCGTGACCTGTACTAGAGTTTGTCAGAGTTATAAGGCCAAAGCCATGGAAAACAAAGGCACCCAAACACTCAAAGTTTGAAAAAATTTGGTCAAAGCTTGAAAAAATTTGGTCGCAGCTTAAATAATTTTTCAAAAGGAGATTTGTTAGATAAAGCCGAGGAAGGTAGCCAATTTATAAGATAAACAACAGTTTCAAAAGCATAACACCAGTATTGAGATGGTTGGGAAGCATTGTGAAAAAGAATGAGACTGGTTTCAGCCATATGTCGATTACGACGCTCACTAATGCCATTAAGTTCTGGGGTATAGAAAGGAGTGGTGAAGTGAGAAATTCCATTTTGAGAGAGGAGATGATGAAGACCAGTATATTTGCCCCCATCATCCGAATGAAAATTTTGGATTGATTGGTTAAATTGTTTTTCAACAAGACTTTTAAATCTCGAAAAAATAAAGGAGACATCAGATTTGTGCTTAATGGGATAAATCCAAGCATATCGACTAAAAAGGTCAATAAATAACCCAAAATATTGAAATCCATTAATAGAGGTGGTTGGGATAAGTCCCCATACACCAAAAAATATGTGTTCGAGAGGAAAATTGCTTGTAGTGCAAGTGGTTGAGAAAGGAAGTTTATGACTTTTAGAACATGCACAAGATTCACATGAAGAAAAAGTTGTTTTTACTAGATAATGGAAGATTGAAAACATTAATAATATGGCTTAGGGTCTTCGTAGAAGGATGACCTAGTCGCGCATGCCAATTTGCTATATATGTACATTCTACCACAAATGCTTTCGGAGACGAACTAATGTTTCCTCGAATTTGGTAAACCCCATGAATGTTTGGCCCTTAAAGGAGAGTCTTCTTCATGCAACAATGCTTCACAAAAAAAGAATTTGCATGAAATTCAACAAAAACATTAGCGCTTTTGCATAGTTGGGAAACTGAAATTAAGTTACAAGAAGCAAAAGGGACACAAAACATTGTGTAAAAGTAAATTTGTATGTGGAGTGGAAAGTGTGGAATGACCCACATGTGTGATTTTTAAATATGTTCCATCACCAATTTGAAGCTCTTCAAGACCAATGTATTTTGAGTGAAGAGCCAAGTTTGCCAAGTCTATGGTAAAATGATGGTAACATGTGAAGTTGGGAATCAGAAAAAGACTTTCTCATTGATTGATTCCAACTCATAACAGTACACTGTATATATACAGAAGATATCTAGAAAAATAAGAAAGAAAATATTTACAATAAATTGAAGTTATGTCTCAACAAATTTTGCAGATTCACGTGGGATACCAGCAGATTTACTTTCCTTAACAAAAGTCATAGATTAAATGTAAC